GGAGCAAGAAGTCCGGAGGTGAAGGGGGGCGCAGGTGGATGGCACGGTCGAGCCCGCACCTTGTCGCTCCACTCCACACCCCTGTTCCACACAGCAAATAACCAGGATTTTAGCTAACAACAAAATGGGAGGGTGGCAGGGATTCCAATGTGCGCGACCTCTGCCGGCACTGGGTCTGCCACCGCAGCCCGAAACCCTCGCTCAAAAAGCAACTCTCCAATATCTCAAACGCAGGCGCACACCCCCCAATTACGTCAGCGGCAACCGCTCGACTGCGGCAGGCGAGATCTCCCTTGACGCACGTATAACAAGTGTGGAGCGTGGTGTAGAATGGTGGACGCAACATCAGCCGCTCATCTCAAAAATAAAGCTGTAAATGTAACCAGGAAGAGAACCCCCAGTGGAATAACGCAACAAGAAAAGGAAACAGGATGACACTAGACCTGGCTGGAAGCAGACAAGAAGTCTTGAACGAAATGCACACCCCCCTTTGCGGATCACCTGGATGATGAAGACGCTGAGTACAGATATAGGAGGCCTCAGGGTATAATTCACGGAACTGTCGTCATATTCATCGGATCCGCACGTCGAAATACATAGAGTGGTTCGAGGACGGAAATTGCGAAATTCAATGACTGGCCATGTTAACAGAACCTACAGCACAATCAATCATAGAATCGAATAATTTCATTAACACAAAAATGATTGGTTGATTAGCAAAGTACTTAGGAGGGAAGGCAAAGCAGGTTAAGATGAATAAAAGGGCCTCTTCGCGGCCGTCAGGTCAGTCTAACGCTCCAGACCCACCGCATTTGCGTCGCTGTTCAACTCAGACCAAATAATTCTACTGACGGGAAATTCTCTGATCCTGAAATGCGGGAAGACTATCTAAGGTGCTTTTTCAGTCGCCCATCTTTTATCTGCGAAGAAGCCACCAGCAGACTCCCTCACACGAGAACCAATTTTGGCCTGCAGAAGAAAATCAGGGCTTTGCGGCAAATATCCACTGAAAAAGCTCAGGACGCCCTCTCAGTTCCGCCCGAGGTCTCTAGGTACAGTGGCGCTCAGTCCATGGATATGCTCACCTCATTTTTCCAGGTGATGTGATAACCGGAGAAAATCCCGCAAGATATCGATGGCGCAACCATTAAATGTTTACGTGAACGCGTAGGTGGTCGGCAATTCTGTAACAATCACTAAGGAAGCTTTCTTCTTGATATTACTAACAAAATACTTACCTGAGTAATACCCGATTGCCTGAGTTTACACCTGGAGCAAGGGCTTCTTCCTGAAGGGCAGTGTGGATGCCGGGAAAACTGTGCCACCATCTACATGATATCCGCAGCCTGACGTCTGTAGAAAAAGTGTCCAGAAAAAAGGATCATCCTCCAAATCATCCCGGTGGATCTTGCTTATCCTTCAACCTTGTGAGCCAAGACGGACTCCGTAATAATAAGGAAATTTGGCCAGATGTGGTTATGTAGCCCCACCTGGAGTAAACAAACCCCAGCCCCTTGTAATCCACGACCGGTGGTAATAGGGGTTCTTACATTTGGGACCCGGAACGCACAGGCGATGAGGTCAAGTACATAGTTGTATGCAAAAGAAAGCTATTGGGAATGCGCGGTTGTACTTTGAGTGGTTGATAAATAGTTGTCCTAACCTCTAACCCTAACCCCCTAACCCCAACTCCAACATCAGGTGTCAATCAGGTGGGGCTACATACCCACATCTTACCAAGAATTCGTGTGCCTAAAACCCGTACTATGCAGAGACAGACAAAACTGCTATTGAGCGACTACTCTGCGAGGATAACTGGCGGGTTCTGGTCCAAACCACTTTTCTACGGTGACGTTGCTGTAGGTGTTCGTAGGCTAGACTTCCGAAATAGACGTTGCATGGAAACACAAGCACCACCAAACCAATCAAAATGCTTGGAGGAACCTCGTACGGGTTCCGTAGGCTTAGTATACAGTCGTAAAAACCTGAGCACCGATCTTCGAAGCTGATCAGATGGGAAAAGTCGAGGAGAACGGACAAGCACGAACAACTGGAATGTCGTGGATCAACGCCACCCAATACCCAAACCCTGGCAGCAAGTCCGCACTGTCGACTAAAATTTAGGACACGGATCGGGCCCAATGAACATCTTCGGATCCACCGCAATGTCAACATGACCAATCCGCCTTCCTCACCATAGAAAACCATCACCATCGCCACTGATGATAGTCCCGCCCAATTTGTCCCCACTATATTTCCACGTTCCTTTTCCTGGTTCGTTCTTGTCAGGCATGACCATCGGAGTGGGGACGTCGAGGTTAACCGTCAGAAATTCAGGCACAAAGCCAACTTCTTCCCTCTGTCATTGCGCGTTCCAGTCATGTATCTGCCCGGTCGACCACCTACGAATCCTTCACAGCACGACCGATGAGTCAGTGTCCGGAACACTAGCCAAAATGCTTCGCGTCTGCCCTTCGTCTCCATACTTCAGCCGCACGTTCAGCCGACCCAGGGATCTATTCGATCATTCGCGCATACAAGACACTAATCGTTAAAATATAATCTAAGCCATATCGTAAAGAACTCGTTCGGTCACCGCGTGGTCCTCTCCGACTATGTGCGTACACGTTTAAACCGCACACGGATATTACAACGTTGCTACTGATGAGATAACCATCATGTGCCGGCGTTAAGCATTAGAAGCAGACTCCCACTGCGTCTGCCACTTTACCCACTCTCACTACCGGCCGGCCGACAAGTTCGGACAAGCCACTGGCGTGTGGGGAGGCAGGAGCGAATGAAGTCGATCCGACACGAATCCGGTGCCTTGTCCCTCATTGAAAAAAAACAAAATGCTTTTTTGAGCTATCACAATGCGCTAATTATTGTGACCTGAAGAGGGAACAAGTGACGGAACAATTCGGCCCTACTCTACTCTGAGGGTCGGGCTGCAGTGGCTTCTACTTACTGAGGTTTCATTGTACTGTCTTGTTGGGGATCCAAGACCCAAGCTTCCCTTCAAAGCCTGGTTCTTGCCTATTTATGGACCGGGTCATGTGTGACAGGAGCAGACGGGCTGTTTAACTCTGTTGGCCACCGCCAGTTGCCCTGACCCCCTCCTCCTTTCATGAAAGGTTGTGGTAAGAGAGAGAGAGAGAGAGAGAGAGAGAGAGAGAGAGAGAGAGAGGGAAAAAAAGAAAGATACCGCCCTCATTTCGTGGGAACCGTGACGAACCTTGTCCTCACGGGAAATTCTAAACGGGAACCTTTTGCCCTATGCGACATTGCATTTGTGTGGTATGCGACTCATCACTATCCCTATCGTGTTCAGCAAGCAGTCCTGAGGATAGTTTTTTTGCAATTTCGTTAAGAGAAGGACAACTGTCTTGACACACTTACACTATCGATCCAGCATAAATGCTAAGCGCCCTCTTGCGGACGTGTGTTACGCATCATTTACTTTTTACGCTCTACCAAGTCTAAAGGCCTGCGAACTTGGCAGATTAATTATGTATACTAATACCTGCGG